ACCTCTGCAGACCGGCTGACAGTACTAGGACAAACGAAGATTGTCTATGTCATCGACAACTTGACTCACCGCCATATCTGCATTATCCTCGTCGTTAACTGCAGAAGTAGATATGGAGTCAGTAGGGCCGTCTTCAGACGACGGCAGGCGAACGCCAGCGACACCTTTGAATGGTGCTGTAACACGATCGCGCTTTACAGGTCTCATCTTCCGGGGGTTATCTCTACGGTACTGCTTCATTTCGTTAAAGTCTATTACAAAGATATGTCCGACGATCAGAACTTCGACAGAACTCAGTCCCTGGTTGTATGCGGTTTCGATTATATTCATTGTATCATTGTCATACCGCCACCATCCATTCCAGCCTTTGTAAAACCATGCTAAGCCGCAGTGAGTGGCGTCTGACACGGACAAAGTGCTATTCGTCTGCGACTGAAGCGAGAAGATATCGGCTTCGTTCGAACCATGTACAAAGTTCGGTCTCTGGATAAAGTCGACCTCAATTTCTCGCCGGCAGTTCGGACATCGACCGCTAACCAAAAATGCTCCTAATTTAAAAGCGAATAATGTAAAACGATTATTTGCAAAGGAAGAGACCATTTCAGTGCTCAACTCAGAAACAAGCGAGATACTTTAGAGCGACAACAACGCGTTGCCGGTCAGAAACCCGGACGAGGAAGGAAGAGGGTTGGTGACCGTGGCAAAGACTCGTAAAACTAAACCATTAGCCACTCGTGGTACTGCCGCTACGGAAAATACTATTTCGGTCGTCGCCCGCATTACTAAAGGCCGCACAGACTGTTCGAGGATCTGAGGCAGACTACAAAAAGTCGGCGATCAAAACCTGTTTCTGGCAGCTGGGGACGACTGGAAATCCCCATGACGATGATAAAAATACAGTCAGCAACGAAGTCGCTATCCGTTCTGAACGGAAGATGCAGACAGCGCAATGTCATTATAGCGCGTCGCATAAGGTTACACGGGAACGACACAGAAAGTGCGAG